GGGGGAGTGGCGCACTGGGCTAGCTGAGCCCCATCCTGACGCGGTAAATACAGTGTCAGTACAAGGTAAGCAGCCTCAACTCAGGGCAAGGTGCAGTGTTTTCTTGCCCTGCGAACCCAATACGTCCCGTACGTTACGCTGATAGTTTACGCCTATGGGCGCCGGTGTGCTGGCTGGCTCAGGCACCCGGCGTCTACGATTGGCCGGGCTGGGACTAAGTATTGAAGCAACGCATTTCACTAGCTGCTCACTATCTGTTGTGTGTAATTTTATGCTGCGCTATTTAGTGAAGAGTTCGTTAGGTGAGTTTTCTAGCCATTGCTAGAGGCTCGCCTTTTTGTTCTCGTCAGGGGTAGGTCGTTATTCTAGGTCTACTATTTGTGTTGATTCGGCTGGTGTGCGCTCTAGCATCGGCCTTGGCCAATCAGCAGCGCCGAGCCCTTGACAAAGCAGCCAAGGCCGCGCTGATTGGCCCGCGGAGAACATCACTGGTCCATAAAGGAAGGAGCTCCTTCCTGCCGGGGGCCAAGCGAAAAAGGGAACAGGAGCCTGCCTGTGATTGGCCGCCTCTGTTTGTTGCTTCCCCACACCGCGTGCAGCTCGTTCCTGGCGCTAGCCCGCTTTGGGATGCCCTTCATTTTGCGCCGAGTCGTTAATTTCCGCCGCTTCCAAGTTTGTTCCTGTCTGTCTCACTCAGTGTAAGCACGGAGTGGTGGTGGTGACGCTGCGACTACCGCCGTCTATTTGCTCCATTCCATACTGCAAACAGAGTCGACGGCTATGCTATTGCTTGTGCGAACTACTAACCCAGTTCGCGTTCGCAGTGGTTTCCAGGAGTCGCAGAGGACTCATGCGCCACCACGCCGATCTCCCCGCGCCAGCGATCCTTGGCTTTCATGTCGTCCGAGTTCTGTCGAGTACGTAACATAACAGTATGACGGTCTGTCTCGATCGATTGGCCCACCCAGCCGTGGGCCCTCGTTTAATACCGTATAGACGCCCAAGCAGTCTTTCGCCGTGAGACATTCGGAGGCTCGGCAAAGCAAGGTGGTGGTGCTGCTCTAGTTGTTGTTTTTAAAAACGGTACATGACACGCGCCACGCTGCGAGCTGAACCGAGGTAAACTGCTTGCAGTCTTAGCTGGCAGGATGACAATTCACCGGACTAGCTGTCGACCACATCGGTTCAATGGTGGCATCTGAGCGATGATCTCAATCTACGCAGTGCATCATCACATAGTGGATGTGCTTGAAATTCGCTTCAAGTCGTCATCCAAGTCAGAGTTTAAACTCTATACGTCGAGTCCTCCGTATATGCAAGCGGCAATACCCATGTGTCCTTAGATGCTAGCTCGGTGCTAAAGAGCTTGTCTCATTCATCTGCAAACCAGAACGCAACGTTGAACACGCCGTTGGGAAGCTACGTTGTTTGCCTCCGATTTCGACATCGTTACGACGCTAAAATGTGCTAATCCGCGTCATTAAACCTTGAAAGGTGTACCGGTTGCACGCGGAAATGAACAGCAACGCTATCATTCTAGCATCTCGCAAGACCGCCCATATGAAGAATAATCAAATAGATCAGTTGAGAATATTCAGTAACTGGTCTTGAACCAAACAAGGAAAGGAGTGTAGCTGACACTAATCAGTTTAGGGCAGAATAAGCACAGAGCGGGAATTGTTCCTCTCGAATCCGACTCGAATATTTATGTGGACGATACCATGAGTATACTCTGAGTAGAAGTCTTGCGCAGGGGACAAGCTAGTAAGGTCCTATTACGTGTCAAATTGACTACACGGGCTTTTACATGTCAGCCTGAAAGGAATAAACCTCGGTTTGTTGATATTGAAAGTCACATTGTTATAGGCCTGTACTCCTTGACACCAAAACAAACGCTAAAAACTATAGCAAACAATAAGAACATCCATAGATGTATGCACACAAGTCCTTGAACTCCACCTCTCGTTCCTAGTCCCTTCAATTTTTTTTTTTTTTTGGCCTTCTTGGCCAACAATCCTCCATCATGCATCTGGTTGATCTTTGAGGTCCTCCGCCCAGACAACGACCTCGACTGTAACTATACCGCGGAGATAGTTAGGCCTGATATACGCTTATTTCCCCGAAATAAAGCTAATGCGTCACGAGTTAATTTTCGAAACGAGGAAACGAAACAGGAAAACAAACCTGCCCAACCAGCCAAACCATGAACTCTGTCCATCGTCAACAACTTGTCTGCCCGCCCATCCACCTTCGACATTATAATGTTTCACGTCCTGCAACCCGGAGAAGAGACCACGACCGGCGGCGTTGCGTCGTGTGCTCTGTGTTGGTGAATTGGAGCGAACCCAGTAGTTCATGCCTGGGTTGACCATGGATTGGGTTGGGGAATAGTTCTTGTGGGAGTCGGATGGCATGGTAGGTATGTTCTCTTGGTCGTTCCGTAAGTATCGGATACGGTTTGGATTGATTTGGTTTCCGTGAAGTATCTGCTGCGTTTATTGACTTCAGAGTGCGAGGTCTGTTTGTTGATTGTGTTTGATCTTGTATCATCTCACCCGGCCATATGTATCTGGTCCTTTATATACTCAAGTAACTGGGTACTACCGATCCATCTACTCACAGAGAGACTTGATCACACCACTCGGCATCAAGATATGGCAATACATCGCCTAACAGTGCTTTGCGATACCTAAGCCCTAAGCCATGATTGGATAGACTTCGTTCACTAATGATCAAGCCATCAGTCTCCCGGCGATAACTGCACGGGAAAGAGAGCGAAACCACCTGATCCCTATGCTTCGGGCCCTACCTTCGGCGGTGCCCGATGCAAGTAAAATGGTTATTTTACATTTATCACCTTCCTATAATTAGCGAATATGCATTTGTTCAGGGACACGTGAAAAATGTATAAGAACGTGGCGGCAAATCTCGGCGCCGAAAGCGGGAATCGTCTTACCCTCGTCACGCAACATCTTGGGCTAAAGCCGAGCCAATTACTACAAAGCAAATAGCTTCAAATTTTCTTGGAAAGGGAAAAAAAAAAAAAGGAATTATTGCGTCTTCTTTGCCTAATGTGCTGAACAAAATCTCTTAGTCTCTCTGCTCTGGTACTGGTACGCTTACATTCCATGGATCGGTATGCACATATCTCGCATCGGCCGACACAGGACTTCAAAATGGAAGATTCTGGAAAGAATCTGGAATGCGAAGAATCGTAGATATGGATGTTCCTAAAAATTCTGAAGTCAAAAAAGCTTATTTCGACGTCGTCTTTGTTGGAATGAAGTGACGACATGCGTTGTCAGGTGATACAGCCCTCGGCGCCGAGCAACTACCCTAACATCAACCTCACTGACATGTTATAGTTACTCATTCGCCTATCATAGCTTAGAAAAGTCGGTGGCATGGCCTTGATATGGATATTGGTCCTGCCCTTGAGGCCAAAATTTCCCGTTGAACGGGTGAACTTGAAGATGGCCTCGTCCAGATCCTCTTGTTACTTCATGAGCGAGGATTTAGATTTGGTACCTTGACCCGGTCTATAGAATAACACAAGCAGCAGGACTTACAACCCTAGCCTTGGCCTCTTCTTGTGTCCCAAGATTTCCAAAATGGATGTATATCCAACTAATTCAGCCTCGGTGAGCGTTACCGCACCCCGCTTCCTTGGGTATGGATACTTGCTGTGCTCTCCTTTTCCCGTTCAGATAGATTTCGGTGACTGGCCATATTATCGTCATCGTAGAGGCATGCCAAGGCCAAGATAGTTCCGGGTTGGCCCAAGGAGAAGTGTGCAGAAAAGCTCATTTGATTCTGATATTGTGGCGCATGTCAAACCCAGCTCTGGGTACCCGGGGAACTGCCTATATTAAGCTTAACAGTCATGAATTAGATACGTAGTTTACAACCTAAATCCCTAGCTGACTAAATACCAAAAATGGGAATTTGACTTCAGACATCTATATGGCTGAATGACAGATCCTCATGCGTACCTCGCCATCGTAGTAGCGTTACCCTGCCAACTCTCAGCCATAGAAACATCACTTCCAACGTTATAAAACTCTCGTCTCCTCGCATCTCCAGTTGGCACAACATTCGTTGTCGATGCATTCGCATTAACATTGGTATTCCTTCTCCTACCCCTCCATGACCACAATGCAAACCATGGCTCGGGCTCCTCCCCTCGACGTCGTGCGCGATGCCGCGACCAAAAACTGTGCCCGATGCATCCCGCTAGTGCGAGCACGATTGCGCCAAGGACGACGATGAGAACGATGAAGCCTATTGGGAAGGGAGGAGAGGCGCCTTCAAAAACGGTTCCGTCTGTGGAGGTTTCTGTGTCGGACATTTATTTTTCTTTGAGATGTGTAGATGGATGTTTGCACAGTCGATGTTAAATGCCGTGGGCGTTCGAATGAACGAACTGCCGGAAAAGAAAATAAAAATGAAAAAAAAAAAAAAAAAGGATGCCGAACGAAAGTGGAATCTGCAAAGTCGTAAGCATCAAATGAGTAAACAGCACATACCTAAAAAGAAGGAAGATCAACGCATACCGTGAGATTAAGGATGGTAAACAGACAAACACGTGGGGCACCTTGAAACTGCGGCTCTTGAGCTTTGTGTATCCGGCTTTTCTTTTGACTGACGCGAATTTCCAATTATTTCAGAGGAAGAACATTATGCTTTGTTACTATACTGTTACTAGTTATTACTATTAGCCTGTTATCAATGCGAATTATATTAAAATTTACCAAGCCACGCTTTGGGTAGCACCTATTAGACTGGGAATAGTTTGACCAATCAGGAGATTCATATGGGGCGTCCGCCGTCTCGTATCTAATATTTAGCAAGAAAGCCAAGGAAATATTTTCCTTCAAGTCTCTTATATGCCAGGATTATATGTAACCGACGGCAGTGCATAGCCACAGCCACATTTCATAGCTTAGACTAAGCCATCAATGCTCTTTCAAAGATCAATAGCTGCCTGACTTCGTTAGATTGGAAGCTCAGGCCGCAGGGACTAAAGCTAAAAGCAGAGAGGAAAAGATTATACAAAAATATCATATTATATAGAGGACAGATATATTGAACAGTGGCAGGTGGGATCTCGCGACGTGAAATATTGAAAAACGTCATTTTCTTCAGTCAGCTCATCCACCAAGTTGAACGATGCAAGATACAGGTACCTAAGCCATTCAACAGGACTTGCCTCATTTGCTCTGTTGCTGTTGACGCCCACATCTTCCTCACAAACCAGAGTTTCGACCCGTAATCAAAATTAACAAATGGGCCAGGGCCCTACCTAAGTACACTATTATAAAGTATCTCAAGAATGCTGCCCTTGCTTCAAGGAACTTATCCTTCCCTGCAGCCTCTCCATCCATGGGCTTTGACTGCACACATCCAAGGAACTCTTTAGCACATGCTGCGGCGGCGGCTGGGGGGGGTACTTTTGCCAGCCATCATACTTCTGAGAGTCCGCATAGTCTGAGATCCCACATATCCCTACACCAGGGGACATATTCATTAAACATGCCGCTTCTAAATTAAGGCATATTGCTCCACGTTTGTCTCGGATATTATCGCGCCTGGTTTGATCCTCAATTCCCGTACCGCCAGGTGCTATGGTACCGTATTGGATTCTCGGAGCATCATCTACGCGTAGTTCTCGCACACCCTGCAGGCTTTGCCGCTTACGTGCGGATAGTTTGGTTGAAATAGTCGGTCAAGCGACTCGCCACGGTATTTGTACCCGATCTCCCGCATGTGAGGGTATTTATCCAGGATTATATTGATATAGCGTGACACTTCATTGTTAGACGTCTCGTGCTGAGCGGTTAGTTTTGCGAGATCAGAGACTAAGGATTCAAATGACCAGTCCAGGGTGCTGTTTTCCAAAGCCATGAACGACAACTCCTCCAATCTTGCGGCTGCTACGGATGACAATATCACTAAGCCGAATTTCTGGGTCATCGTTGTCAAACAGAACACCCACGACAGCAACAACAAGCAATCCAACGCGGATCTCGGGGAAAGTGTAAAGCATTTCTTTCGCAGCAGAAGTCGCAGACGTGGGACCATTTTGGTGCAGGCGTAGGCAGGCTACCACAACTTTAAGTTTGCCTATACTCCCCAAGAAGTATTGGTTATCATCGGCATTTGATTGTACAGTCTGCGGTTCTCCGAGCTCCTCGTCCAGCATTCCCTTGGCTGCTGCAAACTCGTGCGGTAGAGCGCAGATCCATCCCACGGTATAATCATCATTTGCGTACGGAGACCGCTGGGTATCTGCCATGGCACGCACATATCAAAACTGAGCGCTTCGGGCTGCCCAAAATATCAGTCCATCTGCTCGACTGTCGAACTCCGATCGAAATCAGTGGAGCTGGAGATCTTATATTCGCGGTCGTATGGTTGAGCCGCGTACGTAATGAGGCTGTGAATAGACCGTCAATTTAGAATGATCTTATGTGTTAGATCTTCGTTGGTTGGGAAAACCTAACGAGGCTGCGCCACTTGATAATTTCACCTGGGTGAAAACTGCCTAATCACTTCCATTGCCATGGTTCAGTTGTTGGACAAGTCATATCCTTGATAATACAAATCAAGTTGTGTAGGGGTCATTGAGACCTGCAGTTGTCTTGAAACCACTCCACATAGAGACACTTTAGTGCTATATATGAATTATCCATCAAATCACGGCCTAGGGTGATTTCAATATGATACTATAGATAGCGATTACTTACTACTGTGGTATTCGATGCAACTGGCTGCCCTCCCTGTTTGCTAGTCCAGTCCCTTCAGACCACAGCCAAGTCGTGGATTAGTTAGTCACTTCAGTAGTAAAGAATTAAGTAAGTTCATATTGTGATATCCAATTATGAAGGACCAGCAACTATATTAGGCCAGCGTTTCACCATCTGTTGCCTAGGTACGTATTGGTGACCTCGAGCATTCAATTTTTGTATTCATGATTTCAGACAGAACGTTTATCAGCTCTTACTTTTGAATTTCTACGTCCATTTCAGACTACTATCTCAACCAGATCGGTTGAATGAGCGGCAGTTCTCCGTCTTCAGTTTCCATACAGAAATCTTATATTTTGTAGGTCAACATATACATTTGACCAGAATTGATCACAACCATATTCCCTGATCTAGTTCTTCGACCCTATACTTCGCTGCCTCTTCCGCATGCTTGAACAGAAACCTAGTAGCATATTCATGCCACGGTGAACTTTTGCAACGCACATCGAGTTCGCTTCCACCTGGAACCTGGCCAAGCTCCGTTCGTATTGGCGTTTCTTCACTGAGAAGATAGTTCAAGCAGCACCGGTAAAGATTTGAATGGCATCGCTGGACAGTGTCGTTGGAAGTAAATTCAGTTGCTGACGTTTGATGCGCTAATAACTCTTTTCCATCGCCCGCCAGTTTGGACAACAGGTTCAACCCTTCCGTGAGCAGAAAGTGGTTGACTGATGGGTGAATAAACTGTACAATCTGCCTTTCCTTGTCACCATCTAGCAGCTGTACTACCTCGGCCAGACCACCGGACACAGCGTTCACTCGCCGCTTCATGCGTTCGTCTGATTTTACAAAGCTCGCCGTCTCATGGCATCGAATCCGATGTGGTGATTTTACCATATCTTTCGCAGCTAAAGCGTATCGCATCTCCGTTACCGAGAGTGGCCGTTGTGCCAAACAAAGCCATTGAAACAAGAGGAAAGTCTGGCTATAATCCTCTTGTCTGATGACATTTTGCAAGATACGCCGATAGGTATCACCTAACTTGTCAGGTACGATCTGCAGGCATCGGCGAACTTCCTCCGGTGATTCTCCTTCGGCAATCTTTGTTCCTACCAGGGGCACGATGAGGTCTGTCCATTGGAAATTTCCGGCAGCCAGTTTCGTCAAATCCGCTTTCAGATCTTCCCAAATCATGCTGTCGGGTGAATCGGCTTCGGTCAAGTACCCAATTTTAAGACGGTCGTTGACGAAAGTAGCTATATCACCGCTGTTATGGTTTTCTACCCTCACTTCGACGCCTGGAATATAGGGAGGGGTAGGGTAGTGCCGACATGAGATGCATATTTTTGCAGCTGTCGTGAGTTGATTGATATAATTTGCAAGTCCCGAGAGGAATTGTGCTCCTGCCTCATCTAGTGCATCAATAAAGATGGTGACTGGCTGCGTCTGAGCTGCTGTAACAATAGCATCCTGCAGTAATACTTCAAGCTCCTGAGGTTGCCATGTCCAGGTACGCTCACCATACCCAAATGCGCTAGACTTTTCTTCATACTGCTCTCTAATACATTGTCGTGCTGTTGGATCTTGACGGAAAAGTTGATTTAATAGTGCTCGCAGCATCCCGAGGGGTATCCTTTGTAATTCACCCCCTCGAGCACAGAAAAAGAATTCCAACGCAATACCTTTCTCTGGGCTGCGTCTGCATTCTCCTCTCAGCCGGTTGTACAAAAACCGCATTATGGTCGATTTTCCGGCTCCCGGCTTTCCCTTCAGCCAAAATATACCAGTTGATTGTTGCAACCAGTGCTTGTACGCGTCTGTCTCCAGAATCCAGTTGCAGGTAGATGTGTGAGGCTTTCTTATACTGCACCGTCTATCAAGCATCTGAGAGAATGCCAATGATTTGAGAATATCTGTCAATCAATTCAGTTTTTGAAGCTTCTTGCAAGCGAGCTTGCAAAGACATACCATTATCGCAAACCGTGGTCGATTCTATGGCGTTTAAAGTAAGCATGGTTACAAATGATCTCAGACACATCTTTCAACTTACCATCAATATGCTCGCATCCTTTTGCGTATTGATGATTCACAAAATTCACTGCGGAATGGAAGGTCTGACTGACAGCTTGGTTTTGGATCTTCTCCCGGTTATCGAAGGACCCCGAACCCGGAGTGAGCTTTTCCAGAAGGGCCATTCTTCTTCAACCACATGAGCAATCCAAGTAACTATACAGCCTTGAAAATAAGGCGGTGCTTCAACAGTGGATGTATTGAGGGATAACCAATAAATTTATTTGGTTAATGTAAAGATAAAGAAATAAACGCAAATAGAAATTCACTGCAGTAGAAGTAAATATACTCTGAAGAGATAACAACTAGCACGATGCACCTTAACACTATATTCACTGATTCAGTATAGCGATGCTGCACGCGCTAATACATCCCACCAATTAAATTTAATTTTGTCGTAGTTGTGAATATTCCTGAAACATCCTCTGCAGCAGGCTAATGCAAGTTGGCCATTTAATTGGCTCAGTTAGCGCTTTCTCTGCAGGTTGCATTAGGCTCCATGATGTCTGTTTACTTGAGCGAGGCTGGCTTACAATTAGGCCCCTTTAATTAACAGACATGGACTAAAGTTTTTTATATAGGCTACCTAGCAGCTTACTCGTGGATAATGAAATTGACGAAATTACCATGATATTCATTGCCTAAAATCTTATAGATATCGGTCTGGATGATGCGGCCAACTGATCGAAATGGTTTCGAAATCGCAATTATATGTGCCTTGATAACAGAATCGGATGCTTTCGAGGCACTGTTTGATGAATTTTGGGAAGAGGATGAACTCGAATATGGAAAAGCTCCAGGCGATCCCAATGCTTATACTCTAGGGAGGATTGGACGTCATCCTATCGTGATGACATACTTGCCTGGCATGGGCAAGGGCAGCGCTGCGGCAGTGTCTGCCAGTCTTCGAATCAGTTTTCCGAATGTCAAACTTGGGTTGATTGTCGGTATATGTGGTGGGGTGCCTGAGTCGATATTTGACAATGAAAAAATATCAATTTTCCTTGGAGATGTCATTATCAGCACAGGAGTCATTCAGTTCGACCTCGGACGACAGTATGATGATAGAGTTATCCGCAAGGATACCCTAAAAGACAACCTCCGACGTCCAAATCCTGAGATTCGCTCGTTCCTGCACAAGAATGAAGGGTGGAGAGGACGCAGGAGGCTAAGAAGCAAAATGGAAGGGTATATTGCAGAAATTTGCGGCAAAGAGGAATTCAGTAGCTGGAATTGCCCCCAGCCAGGTACAGATAAGTTATACATCCCCGAGTACCGCCACAAGCATCATGACCCAGAGGTCTGCGAAATTTGCGCGAAGTGTGTGGACGCAGGCACTAGAGTCTGCGACGCTGTCTTAAACCTCTCTTGTGACCAACTCGGCTGTGATCAGAATAAGTTGGTTATTCGTGAACGAAAATCAATCCCAAATATCCATTTCGGCTTGATTGGCTCTTGCGATCAGGTTATGAAATCAGCAATTCGCCGTGACCGGATTGCGCATCAGGCAAAATTGTTAGGCTTCGAGATGGAAGGTGCTGGTGTATGGGACAACTTTCCAACTATCATCGTCAAAGGTGTCTGCGATTATGCGGACAGTCACAAAAGCAAGGAATGGCAGAAGTATTCTACCGTGACGGCAGCGTCGTGTGCCAAAGCTTTGTTAAATCAATGGCGAAGCATTGACAAAGGATCATCGTCAGTGGATACGAGTAGAACATCAGGCTCAAATAGAGAAACGGGTCCTAGCAGTGCAGCGAACATAAGCAGTACGCCAGACACAGGCAATGAAGACGACGCCAGCAGAGCCGAAGATGCAGACAAAGGACCAGACGAAGCCAGCGCTCCTGACACGACTACAACAGCGGAGGCACGAGCCACGACGGACCTATGCAAAGCAGAAGACACAGGTATGCCGGAAAGAAGCAGAACGCCAGACACGAGCAAAGCAGAAGACACGAGCAGTACGACGGAGACAATCAAACACGAAAAGACCCCCGAGCACAACCCCGTAAGTTCATGGTAACCCCTACAGATTCTAATACAAAACTAACAAACACATCCTAGACTTCATCGGCCATTTTCAACAATTCTGCCAAAGTTGGGAACCAGGCGGTTAACCAACATTTTGCTGGGCCTGTAACATTCACACAAAGCTAGTGGAGCAAAGTCTATGAATTATTACAGATGGCAGTTCCTAATACAATATTGTATTATGTATAAGGAGAAAAAAATGAACAAATCGCTATTTGGGTTGATATGTTTCCCGATTAGGATGGAGATGTCCTGGAACCCTAGCCCCAGCCCTAACTGTGTAACAATTTTCCTAAATAGGCTATTTCCATAGCCATGAAAGAGCTGTCGGATTCTCGCATATCTAGGATTCTGGCAGCCTTTTTTTCCTTTCAAATGAGAGCTTGCTAGCATATAGCCCCTCTAATTACTTTCAGTCACAATCAAACATGCAGACGTCCTCACTAGGGTATCATATCTTCAACTTCATAAAAAATAAAGGCCTAATGCTCAAGCATTAAGCACCACCTCCACCAGCACCCCAAGCAACTGCCGCTGTATTGTGTCTCCTACGATTAATATCATGCAGCAGCGCCAACCCCGTCGCGATAATCTCATCCACAACAAACGAGCCATCACCACCCCCAAAACCACGATTACTCACTACATTGCCCTCAAACAAATCCAGTTGCGATTCATGCTTGAGCGTCCACGAAGGAGTCGTGATCTTAGCTAGACACATGTTCTTCTCATCCAAACACAGCAACTCAGAGGAAGAGAGATGGTGGTCATGTCGCCACGTCACTTGCGTGTTCCGTAGAGACGGTAATGCGAATGTGGTCTCAGTGTTGAGTTTCGCCTTGAGCGGGAGAGTAATTGTATGATTATGTATGGATATGTCTATTTTGCGTCGGAAGGAGTGGAATTCGGCGTCGGCGAGGATGGCACCGCTGTCGTCAGTGTTCATACCGTGTAAGGGGGCGGAGGGGAGTTTTCGGATTGTCAAATCTGAGACTAAGAAGCTCGGTTTCGCCGTGTAGAGAATTGTATCCTTGTCCTGTGCGTCTGTGACTTGGATGGTGTTGGACATCCAGTGTTTGGGGGCGATTTTGAGGCTGCGAGATGGCGATTGCGTGTGATATGGTTGCGGGGGGAATTCGGTGGTGCTCATACTGGTGTTCGCTTTGCTCTTGTTGAGGGAGCTTGTATATTGTCAAATTCGAAGCTGCGAAATGGTGGATTAGATTCATACCTGCTTCTCTTGTAAGTCTTTCTTGTCCACAGTTTCAAAGACTCCTAGCTTAGACGGTTTGACAACATATCAATCTGCTGCAGGGGGTGCCTTTTTATCGGGATTCGGGATGAACGAAGCGTAGGAGGGTGGTAATTAATAGTTCTCTTTTGTTAATAAATGTATGTTTAGTGCTATAAATAATTTTGAGTTCATTTTCATTAGGATTAGGACAAATCACTATAAACTTTGGAATATATTATGGGACTATCTCTCAGCATCCCTTTCTATCTAAAAAATATTGTTATAACCATTATTATTTCGACCAAATTGCCAATACTAATAAAAGATAGAAGTTGTATATCTATTTGCGTCCTTGGAATTCTTATTTTTGTGCTGTAATCCTTTCCCATAGAATGACGATATATCATGGCTGAGAATTAGTGGTCAGCCGCAGCGACCGAACTATCAACACAACGTCACACTTGGGTGTTTTTATGGGGGTGTTGAAAAGATCTAGCGCGTGTGCAATTGAACAAAAATAAAGTCTTGGTAGTGGGGATCAGGCAAATCAAAATCTTGGCATTGGCCCACTTTCATACATATACTATATTTAGGATTAGAGTCTAATAGAGCTGGCAAATCCAGGATTAGGGCTCTTTGGAATATACTTTATTATCTATCTCTTTTAGTACTCCGTAACGTATACTGGATATAATTATATGCTTTATATATGTTAAAATAGTACGCTAAGAGGGATTGGGTGAATTAATGGGTCCACTTTGGACACTAAGCTTTTATCATTCCTGTTCGGATTAGATCTTGAGGTCAAATCTTTCCCCGGAGTAAATGCTATATACTAATCTGACACGGCCGGGAACATAGATTGGTTGCATAATCCTTTTTCTCGGGATGCATAAAGGTAGCAGAGAGAGATTGCAAGTCACACAAAGAAAAAAGAAATAATGTATACAAGAACCAAAACCAAATACTATATATCTATAATCCATATCAAATCTCGATCGAATTGTAAAACTGCTCCTCTACATCCCTTTTTCTGAACCCCGCGGCTCTTCCCAGACACATGGCTTTCGACACGAGACCTAGAAGCATAATCATCATTAGCGCGGGAGCTCAAAAGCGATCACATTACTGAAGAGAAAGATGGAGTTGGGGGGGGCGAGTAGGGGAGGAAAGAAAAGGTTTTACAATCCATAAACCGATCAACATTCACTACAGCAGGTACATAATCCTGCAAATTCACCCCCTGAGCAGAACCCCCCATTGCCCGTGATGTAGCCACCACTTTAGATGCAACATCTGGATTTGCGGGCAGTAGAAACCTGTGGTTTGTCGAATGTGCCTCAAGGTTAATCCCCATGCTTCGTAGATAAAGATCGACATCCAGCGCATCAAACCATTCGTCGTTCAACAGGCCGAGCGAGGACATGATCCCATCCAGACTCGTGCCGGCTCCGTCATGGCGAATGTGTGCAATGTGTATTGCCATGGGGCCGCTTGCGACGGGCATTGCGGATTTGTCCGGCTGTTGATCCATTGTCGCGTGAATGTAGTGAGTGCCCGCACCGCCGAGAGATACAAAAGGGATGGTGGGCACAGATGGGTCGCCGCTTGATAATGCCAATTGAAACTTTTCGACTAGATATTTCTTACTCCACAGTCGGTAGGCGAGTTTGAAAACGCGCGCCTCCTTGGAGGACGCCGATGGTAAGTCGCCGCTCATTAAGACTCGATAGGCAGCTTCGGTGCAGACTCGCATGAGTCGGCGCGCGAATGTTGTTTCTTGGAAGGCGTATGATGTAGGCGGTTTGATGTCCATGGAGATTGGGATTTTAAGGTCGTTGATTCCCGTACTCGCGACAGAAGAGGTTGTTGTGGTGCTACCGTAATGGCGTTCATTATTGCCAGTAAACTGCTGGAATTGATGACTCTGCGACTGACCATGAAGATAATGGTTCGAAAAGTCCTGCAAATTATACGCTTGTCTCAGGCCAGCTGTTACGTATGGAGGAGGCACTGTTATACCCATGCTAAGCTGCTGTTGGCCCGAACTAATATCTCCACCAAAGTCATGTATATCTGTCCACTGCTGTTGCTCAAATCCACCAAAGAGACTATACAACCCCGTGTCCGTATCCTTCGTCTCTGCCGTGGCTGTCGATGCAGGTGCAGGTGCTGGTGCAGGTGCTGCAGCAGTTGAGCCCGTAGCACTCTTCATCTGCGCCAGGGCCTCGAAAGCTTGCGCCATATCCTGCACAGGCTGCGACAAATCCGGGTAGAAAGAGAGAACATCCAAATCGACAAGCCTCGAACTCAGCGCATCAAACGCAGTCTTCATTTGGGCGATGAGACAGTCCCTTTCGGACAACTGCTTTTGTCGGCTGTATATCTCATCTTGTTTACGCTGTCGATAGGCGCGCTGGGCAATTCGCATTTGAATGCGACGACGCTCTCTGCCGGCCGGGACTCTGTCTATGGCTGTTCGTGGTGCTGTGCTGTCGACCTCAGAACTAGTAGTAGGAGTGATAGCAGGAGTGGTAGATTTGGCGGGTTTTGAGGCTCTTATTTTCGCGCTTTTGCGTTTTTTTACTCTTGGATTGATCATTTTGCTGCCCTGTCGGTTGTGCTTGTCGTTTTGCTTGATAATCATCATTGATGGCTGTGTCTGGCACGACCGGCGTATGCATCATCATCATCATCTCGGCACCCGATACAGCGGATCCGAACGGACCTTGCATAGAGCCACTACCTGAAGCCGAATAACGTTCATACTGGGTTTGCCGTTGGTGCTGATGTGTGTGACGATGATGATGGTGGTGGTGGTGGTCGTGCTGATGATGATGGAGATGATGATGCTGGTAAGAAGAGGCGGGCTGCATGCCCTGCTGCAGGTCCATGACTTGTGCGAAAAGGAAAGAAAAAGACCACGCTATTGTTTCAGTGTTATAGATCGTGACAGACTGTGATATACTATTCTGTCAGCTGCGGATATGGACGATCGTCTGCATGAAACAACTGCAAGAAAGCAAGCATACTCGCGAGCGCTTTGCGGCGGCCGTCAATAGTCGGGGTACATCACGTCGATTACATTTACAATGCAACTGACTGCAAGAGATCAATTAAATGAATGTAAGCAGCACGTCCTAACTAGTGGCGCGTTAGGAAAGGAGTAAGCACTTGTGTGAAATTGTCAATCTTCACGTGCTGTTTGAGCTGAGGCCGTCGAAGCTAAGCATAAGCTAGGCCTTTAGGCGCTGAAGCCGAAGCCGAAGCCGACCCCGACCCCGAGGAAGCCCTGTTGCGGCCGGAAAGAGGATGATTTGGCCCCCTTGTTCTTCTCATAAGCCGGCGGACACAATACAATACCTCCAAAGCTTCGCCTATGCTTGCAGCTGACAAAACTCGGGGAAAGGAAAGAAAGAAAAAAAAAAAAAAAAAGAACATCTAACGCAGCTTCTCTTTAATATTGGTGAACTATAACTGACCCAGGGCTAAAAGTACACCCAAGGTCTCTCTCAACAGATTCATTCTATGCTTAGAAGAAGACACCAGCAGATCTGAAGAATAAGCCGTTCCTAAATAATATACATTCTTGCGGCAAACTAACTCGAAAGAAATGGCATGATCAATGGTTTTACCCCCC